GTCAAGTATCATATGGTTTACGTTTTGTTTTGTATTACTACATAATCATGAGAAAAAAATCTTGGAAAGGATAGGAACGAACTACATTACTGTATCATTTGTCACTCTATAAAGGCTACGTACGAAACTTGGGAATGGAAATGGCTTTACTATGGTATGATATTTTCAATAATTTTGCTAATCGACAATAAAATATGTTGCGATTAAAATAACAAATGTAATATGTAAGTGTACCATATACATGTATGTTGTCTAATTCGTTGGAATACCTTTATCATTAAACATCTAGCGTACATCACGAAATAACATTCTTCCGCAGGAATTATTTCGGTAGGCCTTTTTAGGATCCATCCAATATATTATAGTCAACTATATAACACATAGCCGTTCAGGTCACACTGTTATAGCGATCAGGCTACATGATAATAATTATCTAAGGAGATTACAGGCCTGACATGTTTCGGTGTCCTAAAGAGATTTTCGCAAGCCAAGTAAACAATAATCAAGGCCTAAGCGACGTGTAATCAATACTGTTTTAACCGCAAAAGACTCAAACCACGTCAACTTCTCCAAAAAGGATACAATGATTAAATCTATTCACCAAGAAAAGGATACAAAAACCATCTCTGAAAAGAAACGCTAATCTCTTCAAAGCGTCAAAATAACCTCTTTTAAACGACACAACAACAACAACCTGGGACATAAACAACATCAACCACCTCAAAAACACATCAGCTATCTATAAAAAATCACCTAAAATAACACAACGCCCATTTTTAAGTTAAGCAGCAATCAACTTTTAAACAACAAAACGATACAACACTATCTTAAAAGCATTACAGCAACCTCTTTTAATGACACCACAACGACTTAAAAAGGATTTATTATATTTTTTAAAGAAAAATAGTCGAAACAGCAGTCATCTCAAAACAATGCATCCTCCTCAAAAGTACAGCAAACACAAGACAATACAACGATTCGTGTTAAACAATATAACATCCTCAAAATAAATTACCATAAAACCCTCTAGAAATGAAAAACCAACCATCTCAAATGGACACAACAGGTTCTTGATTTGAGGCTGGCATGTATCTCTACTGCTACAAATGTAGTAAAAAGAAATCTGCGAATGATTTAGGTATATTTCATAGCATTTATATGAGTCACTAAAAAGACAGGTGAACTAGTTCTATGACGACAAAAGCCTTAATGCCTTGTTATTATACGCCCGTCGAAATTCGACGGGGGTATTATGTAATACCGTCTGCGTCCGTCCGTCCGATTAATGTTTGGGTGCAAGTTTCTTCAGTGGTCTACAGTTCAGTCAGATCATGTATTATTGTCCTAATTTTTTGCATGGATGTTCATGTGGGGTCTAAGAAGGACAATATGGATTTAATTTGGGAAAATAATTTCTATTTTTGTAAATTTTGGACGTGTTTGGGACCTAACATTTCTCGCGCAATTTCTCGGCTAAATTTTGGGTGCAAGTTTCTTCAGTGGTCTACAGTTCAGTCAGATCATGTGTTATTGTCCTAATTTTTGGCATGGATGTTCATGTGGGGTCTAACAAGGACAATATGGGTTTAATTTGGGAAAATAATTCCTATTTTTGTAAATTGTATATACTTAGCCAAGTATGGAAGACATGTCCCTATAAACCCACAAGTCAAATCAAATTAAGGGGAGTCAAAATCATACTCTCAAGGGTCTACTGCATGCCCTGATTAAGAGGCATTAGGCAGTACATTAGCAAAGAACCAATTACATAAATGTGAACATTACAGTGATGACAATCGCTCTTGGTAACAAAAGCATCAGCGCAAGCATTTTTATCACATAGACATGACACTGGCTACCAGGCACTTTAAATATCAAACAAACAAACAAGCATTGGATAGGGTCAGACGAGCGTATTATGCATCCGTTTGTGGTGCTCTTTTTGATTATGCTAACCTCGCTATGGAACATTTAAAAAGCTAATGGCGAATTCATTATATTCATATTACATGCACAAGCTCCTATCTTTAATTGGGGTCTTTGTATATGAACTATCAGGGGGTTAAAATTTAGGGGGGACTATAGCCTCGTTCAGGGGGCTTGTTGAACCTTAATTTAACAAGATGTTCACAATCAACATTGTGTTCAGAACGATATGACATTTCCCAACTACAACACGACCCCTTAAAAAGAAAGAATTATCAAAATTCAGTAGAGAATATTTGAAGACAACAACGTATCATCTCCCTTATCTACCATTGGTATTACGAAAACAACAAAATATACTTTGTCATAATAAGCAAACATTTACAAGTTTAGTTTAAACATATTTTATTGACATCATATTGACAAAGGGATTGGTCGGTTAGTTTTCCAACTTATTAATTGACTTCTCGCGAAGTTCACATTTACAAGTACATGATTCGTAACAGTAGAAAATGTAGGTATTAAGACATTTCTTAATTCTGAGATTAATTTCGTGAGAAAGGATCATTCTTCTCACTATTTACTTTCTTGTAAATGCTTCTTATTGTGCGTTTTGCTAAAACGTGAACAGCGTAAAAGAATACTGGCGTCCTTGTATATATGCCGTTTTGATTGCACGCGTGATTTGTTATATTTTCTGTACTTCCATATACTAACTGTTTGTAATTGTCTTATTCAATGACAAAATTGATGGTTCTATATCATGTTTGATTTGAATAACAGATGAGTATCACATTACACATTAAACTTATCTGTTATTGATATTCACTTGTATGCAGCTTCAGTCTTCGGTATTTGTAAGTGAATGTTTGAAATGTGCTGTCCATTTTTTGTGAGTCCATGATGTATGTATGTATGTATGTATGTATGCATGTATGTATGTATGTATGTATTTGTGTTTTCTTTGTTTTCCCTGATTTGTGTCACTGGCCGCTAATTCTAAAGGCATTAATCATCTACATATCATTTAACCTATTAAAACTCAATTCGAATGCTAACTACACTATTGAGTCTTCGCTTTATGGAATTTGTCTGTTCCAGGTTGTGTCCATATTGGCTTTGTATACCAAATAAAAGCAGTACATTGCTTAACTGTAATTATTTTTATAACCATTTAAATATAATGAACATTTGAAAACATAAACTTTATCTAATCTACAAAAAAATGTGAAACTTTCTAATTTATTTTATTCACTCTTGTTGCCCCGGATGAAAGCGTGCAGAGCATCTTAATGTAGGGAAAACCCGAGAGTACTGGGTGAAAACCCACGTGGTTGAGCAGGTGACCCAGTACCTTTTCACTTCCGTTCATTTAAATCGAACTCTGTCGCATTGGGGAAAGGCAAGTGCCTTACCTATTGCGCCACCCGACCACCGAACATTTTACATCACTATTAGGGCTCTTCTTAACAACATATTTGGAAATTGAAACTAAGAAATGTATTGCTAGCTTAATTTCTTACTGTTGTATTAGTGCCACCATTGATGATGTTGTTTCGGCCTTGATAGTGATATGTTGTCGATGTTGGTGTCGGTGATGTTTTTGTGCTGGTGTCAGTATTTCGGGAAAATTTCGGTGTTTTTGCATAATCGTTGCTGGCGTTGTTTTTTCACAATTTCGTTATATACACAGATAGAACAGAGTCAGATAATGTTTTGGTATCTGTTATTGTACCTTGACATTATATACTGAGATAGAACAGAGCTAGATACTGTGTGGGTATGGTATCTGTGATTGTACAATTACATTATATACTCAGATAGAACAGAGTTAGATAATGTGTGGGTATGTTAATTGTGAGTGTACAATGACGTTGTGTATGCTCAAGTAGAACAGAGATAGATAATGTGTGGGTATGGTATCTGTGAGTGTACAATGACATTATATACTCAGATAGAACAGAGTTAGATACTGTGTGGGTATGGTATCTCTGAGTGTACAATGACATTATATACTGAGATAGAACAGAGATAGATACTGTGTGGGTATGGTATCTGTAATTGTACAATGACAATATATACTCAGATAGAACAGAGGTAGATAATGTGTGGGTATGTTATATGTGAGTGTACAATGACGTTGTGTATGCTCAGGTAGAACAGAGATAGATAATGTGTGGGTATGGTATATGTGATTGTACAATGACATTATATACTCAGGTAAAATAGAATAGATAATGTGTGGGTATGTTATATGTGAGTGTACAATGACGTTGTGTATGCTCAGGTAGAACAGAGATAGATAATGTGTGGGTATGGTCTCTGTGATTGTTCAATGACATTATATACTCAGATAGAACAGAGTTAGATAATGTGTGGGTATGTTATCTGTGATTGAACAAAGTTAGATAATGTGTGGGTATGGTATCTGTGATTGAACAGAGTTAGATAATGTGTGGGTATGGTATCTGTGATAGATCAGAGATAGATAATGTGTGGGTATGGTATCTGTGATTGAACAGAGTTAGATAATGTGTGGGTATGGTATTTGTGATTGAACAAAGTTAGATAATGTGTGGGTATGGTATCTGTGATTGAACAGATTTAGATAATGTGTGGGTATGGTATCTGTGATAGAACGGAGATAGATAATGTGGGGATATGGTATCTGTGATTGTACAATGACGTTTTGTGACACAACAGTAAAAGCCATTACAACTCTGCCATTCCCGTTTATTTACAAATTGAATTATTCCGACAGCTTCTCGACCAAACGTGAGACTTAAATATTACATGACAATCTTCACATTCGAAATTAATCAACCATTGGTTTAGTTTTATAGGCAAATGCCGCCTATACGTTGTACCAGTACATACAGTATTATACTTATTAAATATAGATTTGCAAGATTTATGATGTAATGACAAACCAAGATCTGATGAATTAACTGTCTGATAAGATATCAAAGCTGCGTCTCATCCACGTTTCAATGACGAGGACTAGGGCTGGTGGGAGACTTGGAGATCGCTGCGCGCAATCGATCCGAAAGAACCCGGAGTGTGGTGGGCTCGGATCCTGTTTGGTAGCATTAGTTGGTTTGGGAAGCAGGCGGTTGGTGTGTGTATAGCTAATCGTCACTTTCGGAAGCCACATGACATTGAAAACCAGGATTATTACATGTGTACTAGGACACTATAGAGACGACGTAATAATCACAGAGCTTCCGAAAGTAAGGAGTAGTGTGCAGAGTCGGGATAAATTCGTCTAGAACAAGGTAAGTACGCGGTGATGTGTGGAGGCGTGTACACGCGCGTGTATTGTATGTGTACATGTTATTATGACAGAATTGGTAGAGCTTACGGTATCGTTAGAAGGCAGTGCATTTGCCATGAAGCTTTTTATAATACAGGCAAAGACATGTAATTCGTAGGTGATCACAAAGTATACCAGTAACAAAAAGTATATGTGATAGATTGTGCGATAGTGTCCTTTCGCAGTGATGCTTGAAACTTAATATGAACCAAACCATGTATACGAAAATGTCTGAGTTTCGCCAGTGCCCCTTTTGAAAATTTAGTTTGTTCATTTGACAGATAAACATGAAAAACATAAGTAAAGTCATCGTGATATAGGGATATGATTATCATTTCCATGCAATGTTTTCCTGGAGCAATATACCTGGAACGCACTTAAATAATTAATCATACTTCCGTTGGAAACACTACTTTTAACTTTACAACGGGAATGAACATGTCACTTGGGTCTAGTTCTATCGATTTTATATATACAAAAGATCATTGTGCCATGAACCCCTTGGATGTGTTCAACAGTTTAAGTATGGGTCCGTTCACAGGTGTGTCGGGGACTTAAACAATGAATACACAGGTATGACCAAGCACAGGTGAACCTGGGACGTAAGTGACCATACACAGGTGTGGCCATACACAGGTGTACCTGAGACGTAAGTGTCCCTAAACAGGTGTGCCAGGGACGTTAATAACACAAATGAAGTGAATGTTCAAAAACCAAGTGTGCCTGGGACGTTAATGGTCGAAACCACAAGTGTGTCAGGGACGTAGAGCTACAGATCCAACCTTAAGTGTGTCAGGGACGTAGAGATACAGATCCAACCTTAAGTGTGTCAGGGACGTAGAGATACAGATCCAACCTTAAGTGTGTCAGGGACGTAGAGATACAGATCCAACCTTAAGTGTGTCAGGGACGTAGAGATACAGATCCAACCTTAAGTGTGTCAGGGACGTAGAGATACAGATCCAACCTTAAGTGTGTCAGGGACGTTGGGGTCCAACCCTAGGTTATCAGGGACGTGGGGATCAAACCATACGTGTGTCGGGGACGTTGAGGTCCAACCCTAGGTGGTTTTTCAGGGACGTGGGGGTTCAACCCTAGTTGTGTCAGGGACGCGAATGTTCAATCCTTAGTGTATCAGGGACGTTGGAGTCAAACACAAAGTGTATCAGGGACGTATTGATCCAACCCTAGGTGTGTCAGTGACGTTGGGGTATTGTGTCAGGGACAAAGTGATCCAACCCTAGGTTTGTCAGGGTCATGAGGGTCCAACCTAGGTGTATCAGGAACATGGGGATCCAACCCTAGGCTTATCAGGGACGTGGGGATACAACCTTAAGTGAGTCGGGGCCGTGAGGGTCCAATCCTAGGTATATCAGGGACGTAGTGATCCAACCCTAGGTATATCAGGGAGGTTGGGGTCCTACCATAAGTGTGTCAGTGACGTAGTGGTCCAAACCTAAGTGTATCAGGGACGTGAGGGTTCAACCCTATGTGTATCAGGGACATGAGGGTTCAACCCTAGGTGTGTCAGGGACGTAGTGGTACAACCCTAAGTGAGTCAGGGTGACGTGAGGGTTCAGCCCTAGGTGTGCCAGAGATTTGAAGGTTCAACCCTAGGCGTGTCAGGGACGTTGGGACCCAACCCTATATGTATCAGGGACGTGAGTGTTCAACCCTAGGTGTGTCAGGGACGTCGTGATCGAGCCCTAGGTGTGGCAGGACATGAGGGTCCAACCTTAACGGTATAAGGGACGTATGGGTCAAACCCAGATGTGTCGGAGAAGTGAATAGTACATACATGTATGTGTGAATGTCAGGGACGTAGGCTTCCATGCAGGGACGTAGGGTTCCATGCATATATGTGTCTGGGACGTTAGTTATCTTTACACAGATTTGTAAAGGACTTAAACACGAATGTGTAAGGGACACGGTGTGTCCATATCAGGTCTGGACTTGGAGTCCATGTACAGGTGTCTGTGTGCGTGTGCGTGTCAGGACTGAGAATGAGGTTTAAACATAAGTGGGTAAGGAAACACAAATGGTCCAAACATAGTTGTGTCATTATCAAATAAATGGGTCAATTCAAGAATTTAACCGTTAAATGTTTCATAACGATTATCAAAACAGGTGAAACAAAGCAGTCGATTATCTATATCTGTATTCATCAGTATGAATGTAAAAACATTTAAAATTTTATAATGATGCTGAAATCGATAGATCAACAGGTGGACTGGCTTATACTCTGTGCCTTTACGATCGTCTTTGATTGGCACTCGTTTCAGTACATGGAAATCTAACAGCTTTCAATAGCATGTGTCCATATGACCAGCGTGATACCCCATTGTGATACACTGTATGGCCATGTGCATGCCAGTCAGCCTCTGGGACGTATCACATGCATAACTTGTCCTACGATCAATGGAAGCCATCGGGGACGTATTGTTCAACTAGTTAGCTTCGTACATAATGGTCCACGTGCTCTGACCTATTGAATCTCTGTGTACTGCTAACACTTGGGTGTGTTTCCGAAAAGAGTCCCGGTACACTCAAGACATGCGTATATACTCGTAAACAGTAATCATTAAGAGATTTGCGTTTTAAGAAACGTTTTTACAGTGTAGCAGAAAGCTAAAACGAGAACCAAATATAACAACTCAAACACGAGCGTGATTCATACGCAGGTGCTGCTATGAAGTATTGATGATGCTAATTAGAAAGCCATTCAATTAACCGTATAACATCTGTGATATGGTCAGACATCGTGTCATAACGACGCAATGGTTTATCAATACTGCCCTTGAGATGACCACGCTGCCATAACAACCAAATTTAATCATTTTTGCATATGTGTTCTTTCAATCGCATACCATGGACGTCACTTATAGTAACTCTACCTATTATTGTTTTGTAGCCCATCGAGAATTTAAGTCATTTAGGACCAATATTTACTCTATTAAGGTAACTCGTTAAATACTATATCCCTCCCCACTTTGTTGCCAAGGAAGTTTTTCCTCAAATCAAGGGAGTTAGTACGAAAAGAAACATCTCAAACATAATTTTCCCTTTACCGAGAACAGGTTATATCATATATATATATATGAACACATCTGGTCTTTAGGAACAAAACGTCTATTTTTACAGTGTTGTTTGGCTAGAATGACTAAACTTGTCAATTGTCCGTGTCCAAAGCAAGCAAAACAAGCCAAGGGAACCAGAAACTTGCTATATCCCCCAATCTAATACCCGAACTGTTGTATAATATATACATGTAGCTTATCGTACTAAATTGGTATTTGTCGGAGGCGATATGGACGAGAGGTGTTTATCGGGAGCGATATTTTGAGGATTATTTGTCGAAGACAATTTTCCTTATATACATTTGATGGAGGAGACATAGCCGCGAGTTGTTTGTATGAAGCCATTTTGTGCTAGAAGCCATTTGTTTAGGGAAATAGGGGTTCGACGAATGCAATATTGCAGAGGAAGGTCGCAATTGCTGGCTTTGATAGGCAAGCATTCTATGAAAAACATTCCAGACCAGTTTCAAAAGAAAACATACTCTTGTCATCAATTGAGATATAGTGCAAAGTTATAACTTCAGTAGATGAAATGGAATTTAACAGCAATAGTTCAACGGAATGGTTTTTTTCCAAAGTATAAGTTGATTCTTAACAATAAGAGAAAACTATTTTGATTTCTCAGAACTCCAGGGGGTTCTTGTGTTGTTCTATCTTTGATATTGTGTGCATTGCTGCGCGCATACTGCATTTTTAAGTCATTGGTTTTGGAATACTGCTAGCTGCATTTAAAAATATTTTTTTCTATTCTATTTTTGTTATAAATTCTTATAATAGAAAAATACAGAGAAAGGGTACATTTTCTATATGATTTGTGTATGCCGCAGCTCAACGGTGTCTGCTCACAAAGTTACTTGATTGTCACGTGTTGGGTTGATGTGGTATTCTGCATAATGCTAACTAAATGCAACTTTTACATGCAAACCATTTTGTTGCCATTTAAAATGTATAGGAGTCATTAATTTTATGAAACATCCAGATTGAACCAGATTGGGTGGTTTAAGATAGTTTATGGTATTGTATTACTATAAAAAGACTTCCATCGGAACCGGGCAGGTACTATCTAATGGCGTTGACCATCATGATGACGACCGTGTTGGCTTTGCTTGTCGTTGTAAAGTAAACGAAAATGTGCAAAAAGAGTGTCCATTAAAATATTAAGACGAAACATTGATGGGTAACAAGGTGAAGAAGGTTTACTTTTTAATTTTGCGCTTATTTGTATATTCGGCAACTACCAACTTATAATTAAGGGGTCCGAAAGTGGTCGTTCAACTCTAAAGGAGTGCTAAAAGTCGTGCATATTGTAAACAACGAACATAATCACTGGAGAGATTAACATCCGTTCGGGAACGACTGTTAATTTTTTCTTGGAGGAGCAAAGCGCACGGAAGACTAAAACCGCCTTGCAATTGGAAGAATAACAACTACCCCTTTTAATTCATTTCAATTCAATTCATTTCGCCAAAGTGTCACAATCAACTGGAATTAATTTGTCTTTTCAAATGTATTCAATATTACAGAGATTGGACATGACCGTATTCCGCGGAAGCCCCTCATGTATTTTATCATTTGTCACTCTCGGGGTTCTGTAGCATATACCGGTCTTCGTCTAATATGGCAGGTTAACAATATTATTCCTTATCGGTTTATTAATATCTGACACCGTTATAAAATGAAATGTGATGAATCTTCCGAGTTATTGATGATAGAAAATCAAGATGGAGATATTGTAATGAAAAGAGAATGATATGAAAACTTTAAATTTAAATGTGAATGCCTTGAATACGAACTGAATATTTATTGTTGTGTGAAAAAAAGTGTACAGTGTACAATTTACGGCGAGTCTGGAGTTTGATATCAGTTTTATGTAACTCGTGTGTTG